TCTAATAATACAGAGAAATAGAAAAAGTGTCTACAAGGAGAAGCCAGCCTCTCATCTGGGCTATCTTTTCATTGTGAGTTCTTTAAAAAAACAAACAAAACAACCCCCCCCCAAAAAAACCTACTTTAATGATCTATTCCCTTGCTTTTCTTTAAGGAGAAACCTTCTGTATTTGAATATGGCATATTTCATGAGTCTCTAAGTCTATGCAGACTCATTTCCATGAGTCTATGCAGAAGTCCACTTTTTGTGAGAAGTCAAATAACTCATCAGCTTTGCAGCTTTCGTCCCATTTGCAACTCATGCTGCTACTTTGCGGGGGAGGAAAGGCCTTGGCAAATGTCTGCGTTCCCACACCGGGCAAGAAAACCAACGTCTGCAAAGAGTGTTGAGTACCATCTCTACTGGATCATGCCAGGACAAGTGGACCATTCAGAACCACTATTGGAGTCCAAGTTCAGGTGTATTATCTTCTCTTCCATTCCAGAGAGCATCTTCTCCAGATAGGCAGGGGTTAGAAAATCTTTTATCAGTACTCTGATAAATGCAAGTTTATAGAAAGAAATTCAATTAGCAGAGGAAAATCATAACATAGATAAAGTGATGTATGAATATACAAACAACTTTTACATGTGTAGGCTCTTTTCTGCCCAGAATATCTGCTCTACAGCCCATTCTTCTCACTCTTTGCCTCTGGGAAGCAGGAGGCTCCCTTTCCAGGGCTGCCTCATCCAAGGCTGGTTTACACTCCCAACCCTGACCTGGCCAGAGTCCTCTGAGACTTCTCCAAGACTCCAGTGGACGTCTGCCTTGGGGCTTTTGCTTGCCTGGTTTCTGGCTTCCCCATGTTTGTTGCTGAACTACAGTGCCCTCCAGTTGGAGGAAAGAAGGAGAGAAAACTCTCTCAGATCCACTTCTGAAGTCTTGCTTTGCTTTTTCTTCTTGCCACCATGTTGCTGGCCCATCTCCGGCCTCCATCTATCTACACGCCAGACAAAGAAGACACGAGAAAAATTCAAGCAGCTCCTCTCCATGCTTCATAAATGATCAGCAGAACTCCACCTAACCACAGACCAGGTGTTTCCGGCTCGCATTTTTCTGCCTGACAGACCCCTGCAAAGGATCTGGTAATCACTTTCTGTTCTGCCTTTTGTTTAGTTCCTGCATGAACCATAGACACCCTTGGGGTGGAGGACAGTGGAGTGGAATGGAGAGAGCTTTGAACTTGAAGCCAGTCGTTTTAATCCTCCTGGTTTGCAAGCTTAGTGTCTGTGTGATCTTCAGATGTCATTTAACTCCCTTGAGACTCAGTTTTATCTGTAAAATGGGTATACACATGTCCCCCTGATGAGTCAGCAGGAGCCGACAGAAACCCCTTCCCTAGCGGCTCCCCCTCAGACTTAGTCTCCGTATAGTTTTTAAAAGAGTCACCACACGTGTTCTACTTAATAGCTAAAAGCTGGACCACTTAAGAAAGCAGTAATAGAAATTAGTATCAAAATCTAGAGATTTTCTAATAATGTGCAGTTGCGAAGTTTAGCTGCATTAATTGACAGAAGAAAGCTGGGGGAGCCTGCCGCGTGGTGGAAGCTTCAGGAGGCTGGTTCTCCTCTGGTTTCCCTTAGAGCAGTCCTCTGCGGAGCCCGATGGTCACATCTCCATCTCCAGATTCCAGGCGTAAGTCCCAAGGAAATCAGGGAAGAGGGGTGAAAAGTATCCTATCCCCATGCAGGACATTCGGAACTTCGGGCTTTCCTTCCTAGAGCGAGCAGTGATACATAGTTCCTGCAAACATAAAGGATATAGCTAAATCCCACCGACTTAATTCTGTCTAGGCTGACCCCCGCCCCGCAAGGTGTGTGAGTGAATCCACGCGAGACTTCTCGAGACCTCTGGTGTCTCTTTACGGGTCGCGAGCTAGGCCACGGAGCATGCGCACGCAGGGACCGTCTTTGCCGGGCTGTGGTCCTCGGAGTCGCCTGCCAACTACACTGTGGTTGAGACCGCAACGGCTCAGAGCGGCGGCTGTGGCTGTGAGGTGAGGCCGAAGCTGTTACCGGAGAGGGTCCTCTCTTTAGAAAGGCTTCCCGTTTCTCTCAGTGTGTGGTTTTGGTTGGCTGCAAAGAAGTGGAAATCAGATTCTGGTCAGCCTCCGTCGCCCCGTGTGGCTCAGGCCGGGCAATCTGCAGGATGCTGGGTATTAATTCTGCATCTAAGTCTGCCACGGAGAGATTGATGGCTGACCTTTTATTCATTCATCCCGTGTGCACGCGTACTGAGCCCTTATTATGTGCCATGTATTGCTTTCTAAGCGCTCTGCTGGTCTTATTTTTTCGCCGCAGCACCGCTGTGAGGTGGGTACCAATTTTAACCCCACTGCACAAAGGAAGAAACTGAGGCAGAGGGAGGTGAAGCTGTCTTCGTGCCCTTCTATTATTAGGAATCGTTTTAGTTTTACAGTTATTTACTTGAAGGTGGCAATTTCTAGAGAGTTTTTCCTAAATGATCTGGCCTGAACTATTTGCTAGCTAAGCAATTAAGTGTTTGTTTCAGACAATGACAGACGAACCAGACGGGGCCAGGGAGAACCCTGTGGGGAGGTATCACTGATACTAGACCCTTCCATGCCATGGAGCAGGTGGCCTGGGTAACCGCGTTTATAGGGGACACCTGTAGTTTTCAGATCTTTAATCAGTCTCTGACCTTAGGACTGTGGTTCTATAAAACATCTCACATTTCCTTCCAAAGCAAAGGCATCAACCTGCACCCCTTCTCAGCTGACTCTTTAAAGGGGTTTCGATAACCCCTGCAGATTCCAAATTGCATATGGTATCTTCTGTCATGGTTACCTTAAAACAAATAAGGAGAGATTAAGAATGGAATTAAATATCTAAAATGACTCCATTGGCAATGAGGAATAATTTGGGCAGGATGGTAGCGGCTCTCACACTGCGTCTGAGATCCAGTCCTGCCCTTGGAACTCAGTAGAATCTGGTGTGAGGTTTGACTGCAAATGTGACTGAAATAGGAGGCCCAGAGCCAGGCTCCAGCTGAACTGGGACTGTATTATCAAGGCACCAAGGATACTGTGTGATACATAATGATAAACTGGGCTTATTGGGGGGTTGTTGGCAGACAGTATTGGAAAATTGAAGTAAAGTGAAAGGATGTGGAGGGCAAGTGAAATTGATTAAGGCAAGTGGTTCACAATTTAGGCTGTTAATTCCAGGTGCTGTCACCACATTCTTTTTTTCTAGGAGCTGGCATATACCGTGGTGGTCGGTGGAGCACCACCAGGAAAGTAGGCGGAACGGCACTGGACTAGCCCATTATGAGCCAAAGAAATGCTTAGTTATGCATGACAACCAACCGCTTTAAGGGTGGAGAAGGAGCAGGGCCCGATGCTCTGCTCTATTCTTACCCCATGACCTAGTGACAATACATTATGTGTTTCCATCCCCCGCCCCCCCAGTGCTGTGGTCTTCAGGAATTCTGTCCATTTGGCCTCTTAGGATGGGTTAGTCCAGTGCAGGTTGGAAGTGCTGGTATTTCAGGTATTCTCTGGCAGACTGACAAGCTCTTCCATCTTGCTTCCCTCTCTCCCCAATCTCTTGACATCCTTTATACACTTCAGTGTGCATCTCAGAGGCTGCTTTGTCTCTAAGGCTTCCCCAACATTCTGTTTCCTCCTATCTTGAGCTGGTTTTAACCTTTCTCTCCTTTGTGCTTCCTGTATTATAGCATGCACCAAAGACTATCTTGTATTTATCTTTATTATTTTCTGTTCCTGTCTTAACCCTTACCGAAAGCTTCCTGAGGGTAGGTTTCATGTTTTCTTTATCATAGCCGCCTCCGTATCACTTTGCACAGTGCCTTGTACAAAGCAGATGCTTAATAACTTCTTGTTGAATTGTAGTAGTTTAAAAACCTCCAAAAAACGCTAAGATTTGTGTGGCAGGTGAAGGCAGCAGCAGGTGAGCGCCCCCAGGGAGGGGAGACATTTGCAGATGCAAGTGTTTCTGCACCAAGCCAGTCCTGAGCGCTTTCCTCCCTTAGCAAGTTAACTTTCTCATTTTCCCCCACGACCCAGTGGTCTCTTTGTTCTTGCTTTCTCAGAGATTAAATGGCCTTATTTTTCGGTGGCATGCTCTAAAGATCTCACTAGCATCTCCTTTGCTTTTTGGAGAGCCTGGTTTGTCAGCAGAGGGGAGGACCTCTCTGGTTCCCAGTAGGGATGTTGTGCTCCTCTCTGTTAACCTTAGTCTGGAGTAGGGAGGCCAACTCCTTCTCAGCCCGTGAGGGCGCCTCCCATCTGACCACCAGGCTTGGACTGGTGTGGCCTGAGGAGATCCTGGGATAACGTAACCAACAAGTTACCTTTAATATCAGCTGCTCAAGGAGCAGCCTCACCAGCCCCAAGGCAAAGCTTGCCATTGCCGCTTTTAAAAATAATAATCCCTAATCATTTTTGTATATCTTAAGCTCAGGGCCTAATAGTTCAAAAATGAAAGGTGAATACAAAGATTTTTCTTCTGCTCTTTGTTCTAATTTTTGTTTTTTGGTGGGGGGCATTTGTTTTAAAACCTAGGAGATATTCTATACCTGTGATAGCCCCCAGCTGAAAAAAGTATTAGACAGTCTCTAGATCTTGATACCAGTTTCCATCTCTACTTTCTCAAGACAGCCTGGCTTTTAGCTATTTAACAGAATTCTTGTGATAGATAAAGTCTTATAAAAATACATGGAGACAAAAATATGAGGGCCTAGGCAAGGGATTTGTCCTCAGCTCCTGGCAACTCAGCTGGGATATCTGGGTAGGGAAGACACGTAAGAAGAGAGGACTTTGGAAGCACGTGGCTGGAGTGGCCACATCTCATTCAGTCCATGTGGTCAGTAAAAACTTGGAAGGAGGCATGAAATGTCCCCTAGCCCTTCTAGTATACCTTGTCTATTTTAGATTCTAATGTTCCTTGATTCCTGACAATTCTCATCTTCTACAGTCTCTGGTCACGACCAGGACCTAGTGACTGAAGACAGAAGAATTTCACCTATTCCTAAGTGTGGGCAAGACACTGGAAAAAGTGTGCATCAATCATCAAGAGTCCAAATGCAGCTTCAACAGCATGTAACTGGTGAGTTTAACAAGCCTCACTTTTGACATAAACAAAACACAGCATTATAGTGTTTCACCCGTCTTACCTTTAAGCTTGATGCAGTGGATTAATTTTCCCCTGCCCTGGGATGTCAGCTCTGGCAGATCTTATACTTTTGCCTCCAGTCTTATAGAAAAGGTACTCCAAGGTCACTTTAGGTTGCAAACACAATCTCAATTCAGTAACTAGAATGTCATGGCAAAGATGTTAATCAAAACTTGGAACGTGACAGCATTCAGTAGTTTGCCTTCCTTCAGCTCTGACCTGCTTCAGGGGTGGTCCTCCAGTCTTCACTCCTCCCCTGCCCCTCCCTGGTCACCCCGCCCTCTCTGCACACTTTTCCTCACCAAGGTCAAAGATAGGAGAAGGAGAGAGAAGGGAACGTTATGGTTTTCACTAGGCTGGCAACTTTGTTATTCCTGAGCCTACAGCTGCAGTCCCTAATTAGTTACTGATAATTAAGACAGACCTTTTCCCCATGGCTGCTTTTCTGGGCTCTTTGAGGTACTCTGCTGAAGTCTTCCTCCTGCAGCTTCCATTAGCTATTCAGATTCTTCGCTATTTCAGCTGGCCATTTGCAGCTCCTCCCTCAGCCCGTAGGGATCCAGTGACACCCTTCCAACTCCTTCCACTCAGGTCTTCTCACCTTCTGTGTTACCCTATTGCGCAGGACCAAAGACAAGATGAGCTGGGTCTCTCTCTGGAGTGGCTTATGTCAGTTCCCATGATCCTTTGTCCAGTGAGCCCTTTGTCCAGTGAGCCCAGGTTGCAGGCTGACCCTACCACAGAGCACAGGACGATGCCCCTTGATAGAATTAAGATTGGTTGGAAACCTTTCTGCATGAAAACTAATTGCACATAAAAATTAGTTAATCTCTGTTTTTCTCAGTTATAGCTTGTTAATTTTATAAGCAATATTTCAATGCGTTAGAGGTAATGAATACAAAAATTGTATTTGATTCATCATATAGTCTCATACATTTTTGAGTTGCAAATTCTCCCAGAGAGATATCGTACCAACTCTATGTTAGTGTGTAACGTTCAGAATTTGGTTCCTTGCTTTTGTTCAATGCAGTAACTTCACAGTTTTTTTGATATTTAACTTTTGGTTTTGTGAAAATAAGAATATTTGAGCATGGAAATAAAGCATTGCTGTTAGCATGATTTAATTTTTTCTTGCTTTTGAAGTAGCAAAAATTCATTGACTTGAGGGTAAATTATTTTATTTCTCTGAAAAAAATGTAGTATACAATGAGTGAGGGCTGATGATATGTTTCCTTGACAAGTCCTTTTAAGAAGACTGTTTCTAAATGCAAAATGCCAAGTGAAATCTTGGGAAGCAGAATTTTTTTTAATAAGTTCGTAGGGATCCACTGTGCCCTTCTGTTTCTTTCGTGCTCTTTAGGAATCCTTCCTGTATATACTTAGAATTTTTTTTCTGCTTTGAATTGAAACAGTCTATGGAGCAGCCACTTTATATATGTTTTAAACTCTTGCTTGGTTCATAAAAATGCATTTTTAAGAGTTCCCGTGCAGCATAGATTTGTTTAAACATTTAAAGTCAACAACATATCATGTCTGGTATGGTTGATGGAGCAGAGAAAATATTGAATGCAAAGTACTGAAATTTTATAAGCTTTGGCAATAAAGGGTAAAGATCTCTATTCATTTAGAAACTATTATTAAAATATAATGTCTTGTAACTTTATCATTTATTATCTCAGTTGATTCTCAGCCCTTGTCAGGGGTTTGTCAATAGGCAGGTCGGATTGTCATATCCTCATGTTAATGATGAGGAAACTGAGGCTCAGAGAGGTTGAGTGAATTAGCCAGTGTCATCCTGCTGGTACACTGAAGAACCAGGATAGGAATCCAGGTTTGCTGTCTTTAAGTCCTAAATTTTTACATTATAGCATTATGATTTTCAAGACAACAGTGATTAGTTATGGTTAGGGCATGCAAAGATGGACGAGACTGGCCCTATTTCCAAAAGCTAGTTGAGAGGTAGAGCTGGGAGACAGACAAGTCATGAAACGCTTGCAGTAAGATTTGGTAAGGACAATAATAAGAACTATTAAATGAGGCACTAAGGAAGGCCTAATTCTATCAGGGGTGGAAGTGGGAAGGAGTTTAAGCTCTTGTGTTTAGGAGAAGGAGTTTTGATCCGTGACAGTATCTCTGTTCCACAGACCTGTATATGAGAAAGGAAGTCCCTCCTCTCCCCATCCTCCCTTACCCCAGCCCCTGTGGTCAAGAGACTGAGTGATTGAGGAATTATGGTGATGGTACTGAATACAACAACTCCAGCTGAGCAAGAAAGTCTGTGGCAATTGAAGAATTCTTGGTCTGGGAGTAAGGAGCCTTCCCAGGGAAAGGCAGTAGAGTTAAGGTTTTATAGAGAAGATGGCTCCAGACCTTTGACCGCACTTGGAGCTTCAGAAAGTCATCTTGGTATTTTCTAAAGATGTGACCCAAGACGGGTCACAAAAGGCAAGGCAGCATTGTTTGCTAGAACACTCTTGCTTTATTCAGCCTACTTTCTATAAAAATGAAATCTATACTGTTAAGTATGAACTAAGCTGTTTATGTATCTTTTTTCTCCCTCTCATGTATTTATGTCTGTCTATCCATCTATTGATCCATCTATCTACCTATCTAATCATCTATCATCTATTGTCTTTCTCTCTTAATACAAGAGAAAATGTTTCTGTTGAAATTAGTTCTATTCTACTATTTGTTCTTTTAATATTGGAGTCAAGTTATGGATATGTGAAATTTGTTTATACAAAGAATCAGAATGAAAGTTGAAGTTGAAAATGGATCCATTTGTTTATTAAGAAGACTTGAGAAGGACAAGAACTGGTGAAAAGAGGGAATGTTGTACCTATCCTAACATAGTCTGAGGCTTACTCCTCTATAACCTCATGTTTTCTGAGGTTTTTCTCATTCCCTCTGGCTCCTCCTACTCAGTGTTTTGGTAGCCTCCTGGGCTTTGTCCACCTCTCACTTCTTGGTGGTTTCCACGGTTACTTCCAAGACCCTCTTTCCCTTCCTTTTTCTTTCCATATGTCCCTTCCTTTCTCCCTCCCCACACTCTCCAAGGATGATCTTATTCCTTCTTTTGGCTTAACTACCATTTATTGTAGATAGTCGTTAGCTCCACAAACATTTATTGAGTGCTTTCTTTGTGCCAGGCGTTCATCTAAGAGCTGGGGATACGGTTATAGCTTAACATTTTTAGTGGTTTTATGCTTGTGAATTTTATTTTCAACTGGTAGTGATCACCACAGACATTGAAATATTATCGTATACATTTACATTAACGTAAAATATGGGTTCTGAAGATGACGAGCTTTTAGGAAAGAATGAGTAGCTGGTTAGCAGCTTGAGCCAGAAGACTTTTCCGCCTCTTGGAAAGCGTATCTGTTTATCCTTGGAATCAAGGTAGCACGATTGATGAGAAAATACTTTTCCCTTTTGACACATATTGCACTGGGTTGGATGCAATTGGGAACTCCTCAATGATGACAGTTATTAATGGCAGAAAGCCTGTTTGAGGCAGATGCCAAGACGGGAAGAAGTCATCTTACTTAGGAAGTGTCATCTTACCCTGGTCTCCTTGGCTCTCAGACACTGCGGATTGTACTGGATCACTGTGAGCCAGGCTTCCGGACTTTAGGTTATCCTGATCGACTTCTTTCTTGGACTGAAGTTATTTGGTAATGGTACTAATAGGGACTTTCCAGAGAAATAACTAGGGAAAATACCATAAAACCATTCATGCAGTTGAAAGCAGACGTCTCTGGTGATATTTATATTGGGCAGAGACTGTGCCTTATTTTGGGTTGTATAGAAGGACGTTCTTGGCTTCCAGCAAATTCTAACCCTAATGTAATTTGCAAAATTATTTGGTTTGGAAAGATGCAGAAAAGTAAATTTTAAATTGTCGTGTAACTTTTACTTTCAATCTATTGAGGAGCTTAAAAGTCAACATGAAGCCACATCCCACTGGTACTGTTTAAAAAAAAAATAACAGTTCATTTTTTAAAAAAAAAGTCCATCTACATCAAAATAAAAAGCCAACGTCTTTCCTAGACTTTTTGAGTATTTTTTATTTTTTATTACAATGCTGTTTAGGACTCCTTTTCCTTTTGAATTCAAGACACCAAAGGGCTCTGTTCTAAACCTGTCTTCCACCAAAGCAGCTGGTGGTCTGTTACACACAAAAAGAGTGCTTAACTTTTACAAAGCTTAGCACCCTCTTCTTATATCCAAGTTCTACTGTTCTCTAATGCCAGTCATTACTAATTATCTTCAGCTGTGTCACGCTGTTTCCTGAGGTGCACTCTGATATTTTAGTAACAAAGACCTATAGGCCAATTATTAAATCACACCCAACCTTAGTGATGGGTTTTGTTGCAGACAGCTAGTTTGAGTTTCCTTTTGTTCTGCCTCATCAAGAATTTACCAGTTAAACTGAGGAGAAACACAAGTGCGTTTGTGATAGTTATGGGATAGAAAATAGACAGGAGAAATTAATAACACAATGGAGTGCATCTTTGGGTAGTTGCAATATCAAAACTCATAAAATTTCTCTGAAGCATGGTAACTGCTGAGTATAGCAGAGTAGAGTGGGAGGGAGTGAATACTTACTGAAATACCTACCGTGTGTCAGGCTTCGTGCTAAGATTTTCCTACACTTTCTTGTTTAAATTTCACAACAAAAATTAGGAAGTGATTATTCTCTCTAACTCACAGATGAGAAAGCTAAAGTTCACAGATGTGAAGCATTGGTGCCAGATCACACAGCTAGTAAAGGACAGAGCCAGTATTTGAACCCAAATTTGAATCCAAAAGCTTTGCTTTTCCCCAGTATATTATGAACACCAAACTATATTTGGTATCCATCAACTATTTTATTGCATGATGCCTCAAGAAAGAGTGGGCCAGGACATCCTCAGAATTGCTTGAAATGTGAC